GGAAAGAGAAACATAGGGTAAAGCCAAAAAGATCCTGTGATAACCAAATACAAGCCAATAACCTAACCTTATATATCAAATCAACTACTAAGACAAAGGGACCTCCTTAAAAATACAGGGGTTATGCCCCAATGAAACGCACCAAATTGTAGCTTATATTACACATCGAATGAAATTGGTTCGTGTCCTAATAGAAATACTTCCCTTCAACAAAACTTATAGCTCACATGCCACTTTATTCTGAAATGTCTCGTAAAACCTTACACTTTCAATCAAGGTTTTAAAAATCAGTTTGTGACAACAATTTTGGATGCAACATCAAAGTTTTTGGGACCTCCTCAACAACAATTGTGACTGCATTTTGTCCATAATTTTCTGCAATATCAAGGATTGTGACAAAACCAACCACAGACACAACTTAAAACCTTGCTTTCAATAGGCTGATAATAGAAGAGTGCAAATCATTCACAAAATCTTAGTAACATTGACGAGAATATGTTACTGAAATATAGTTGGTCCCTGCAACCTTAGAATAAAAAAAAATTGTACTTGGAGTTGTGAGAATGATAAAAGAAACTTACAAACAAGCCCAGTGTTGTCAATGTTATATCTGTTACATATCTCAAAATCACTGAGGTCAGCACAGTTGTCCACTCTTTGTCTGCATAAACAAATTACACCAATAAGTAACGGTTCAATAAAATAAGCTTTTGATCCAGAAACATTCATGAAACGAGATTGCCATTTACTTGTCTAGAAACAAAATGTAAGGTAAGGTGGTTGAAAAACCAGAATCAATTTAATTTAGAGTATTCTGATTTAATATTTTTTTATCACTAAGAAAGATTACAATGACAATAATTAAGTTCGTACTTAAGACATTGTGTTTACTACTCTGACCTAATCACTAGGCCATAACTAGCAGTTTATTCTGGTTTAATATAAAGAGTTAGTTCGGATATAAGTTAGAAATGCTTCTGAAAGCTTTTTTTTTTTTTTACTCAAAAATACTCTGAATTTCCGGTAAAGAACTTTCAAAACTCAAAAACATTTCTGAGTTATGTTCAATCAGACTCAAATTTACTTTCTGAAAAATATTTTTCCTAATTTCTGAAACTGCGGAAGCTCTACTAAACACAGTAACATAAGCATACAATTAAAATTTAAAACACAACCAATATCAGTTTCTTTTGCTAAAAATTTGTGTTTAAAAAAAAAAAACACAAAATTTCCACCTCATGCAGCAATCAATCACTGAGAACTAACAGTGAACCTGATTGAAACATGAACAACAGAGTAAACAGAAAGGGAAAATAGAAAACTAACGTCAAAAATAGTTGAGGAGCGCCAGGGATGGGTAAAGTGTAACAAACGCGAGCGTCTCTGGCGGAAGAACCATCATGTTTGTTAGAGCCAAGCTCGTCGTCGATTACATGAGATGGTATCAAGTTGAATCCATGAGTGGTTCTTCTTGAAATGCGATTAATAATCATTTGAGATTGCTCGTCTGCGAAAAATAAAAAGATGTATGAGTAGAAGCGTTTTGGCAACGAAATCGTGGAAATTGGATGTGTGTGAAAATGAGATTGCCTGGGTCTGGTGGAGAGGAGCGTGAGAGAAGCGCGCGACGAAGGATTTTCCATCTCAGAGAGGATGCTTTCTCGTTCCTTCTGTTTTCCATGGCAGCTTTTGCTTCTCTCAGTGAGAAGTGGTAAGTGGCGATTTTTCGGTTTTATTTACCCTGTCATGTAATGTCAAAATTGAATTAAGAAATGCGATTTTATTTTTGATTTTTTATAATAGATTTGTTTAATAAAAATATTTAAACATTTTCTGTATTTATGAGATTAATTGATGTTGAACTTAATTTTCGGTTTTTAAGATTTTAAGTTCGAATTTTTATTTTTAAAATTAATTAATTTTTAATATTATTTTTATTATTTAAAATTTTAAATATAAAATAATTTTAAAAAAAATATGTTTATTATCAAACTATCACTTTTATATATTTTTATATACTTTAGTGGGATTAAGATATGTCTCTATATTTTATTTAATAAAATATTTAAAAAATTATTAATATTTATTAGATTAATTATGTTGTACTTAATTATTAAATCTTAAAATCTCATATTTAAATTGTATTTATAATGTTAATTAGTTTTTAATATTATTTTTTATTATTTAAAAATTTAAGTATAATATCATTTAAAATGTATATATTAAATTGGACTATTATCTTTATATATACTATTATATATACTAGTGGAAAAGAATAAACTCCATATTTCTATGATAATATGCAATTATCAACAATTTAAAAATAAAATGTATTTAAAAAAAATTGTTGTCTTTTGTCGTACATTTATATAATATTTATAAAGAAATAAATTTGTCATAAATAATATATACACTAAAATAAAATTTTGATTTTATATATAAATGTAGATTATAGATATTAAAAAGTAATCATTCCGTAGTGCTTGCTTGGAAATCATAATTGATCAGCAACTAATATAATTTTAAGTAAATCTTTATGAGTTTAATGTATTGTTGATATAAAAAAAAATGTACTGTTTGTGAAAAAGTTTTGGATGATCAATTATTATTATCAGAATTGTTGGATTAGATGGTGGCTAGTTAAACAACCTAAATGGATATTTGTTAACTATATATGCTATATTAATAATGTAGTATGACAATTACTTTTATAATGAATTATCATCAAAACCTCGTTGATGGAGTTATTAATACTTCTTTCAACGACCTCACTGATTTGGGTGCAACACTTGCCTAAATCATATTTGTATTTCTTTTATGAAAAAAAAATAGCAATCAATATTATGTCGTTCATCAAGACAAAAAAAAAACATAATTTTTAAAATAATTATTATAAAAATTAATAAATTTATAACCCACATATATAATTTATAATAAAAAGAATATGATATAAAACTATTTTACATTGTTAATAAATAATTTAAAAAAATTAATTAATATATTTAACTTCAATAAAAGTAATTTTAAATTTATATTTTATTTTCAATTAAAGTAATTTTTAAGTAGATTATGGATTGTAAGAAAATTATAACAACTTTTAAAATAAAATATTTAAAAATAAATTACATCACTTTAAAAATTTACTCTATATAGGTGGTGGTTGAATATAATTTTCAATAGAACCCCAGTGATAATCTATTTAGCCAGAACTATACCTATTAGAGTATAAATCTTAATGATATTGTTGAGGAGGATCATAATATTGTTGTAGAGATTTATATTGCTGACAAAGTATGAACTAAAATAATGTTGTAGAGGATCATAATAAGTTTGAACATTAGCATTAATTGCTAATGGTTAGACTAAAGATGTCAACTCATTCAAAGCACGAAAAGTCATAAATATATAATTATAGAAACAAGTTTATAATCACAATTAAAAATAAAATCAAGACTAACAATGCTAAATAAAATAAAGTTAAGAAAGTCAACAAAAAAGTCATCGGTCAATCGAAAATCAGAATCTAACTAAGAGAATTTATAACATGCAAAATAGCATCAAATGAAATTGGAAAAAAAAAATACTAAACTACCAAAAACTCATTTCATATATAATTTCCTTTTTTATTTTTGATGATTTTTAAAAATATCAAAAATAATAAAAAAAATCAATTGAAAAATTGGTCTAAATAATGGAATTTGGCGATTTTATGCCCAATTTACTCCCATGAGAAGTAAGTTTGCTCATATTGACATTTTACCTCTGGAGAAAAAATTATAACTCAAAGTGAAATTTCTTAGAAGTGCCTATGACTAAATATTACACAAATCTACAAAAAAAACACCACAAAAATTGTTAGAATCCAAGTTAATATATGCAAAATTAATTTAACAAAAACAATTAGTAGGTGTGATAAAATCAAGATACAATAACTTGTGTTCCTGAAAATGATGCTATTTTGATAGCGTTACCAATTCACTATAAAAAATTATTAGATATTTTCCTTGGATGTGTAATATAGGGAATAACCTTTGTCATTCTTCTTGAAAACACAAGTTAATAAAATATAAAGTTATGACATATGGTTAGAATGAGGATTTTTGGAACAACGAACAAAAATTGGAATATTAAAACACAAACAGAAAAGACAATTGAAAATTTTAATTGAAAAATTTATCGATTCAGGATTTCAGTCCTTGCGACAAAATGTTCATAGTTCAATAAATAATTTGAATCCAATCAACCTTAAATCAACAAGAAAATAATTAAAATGTACATTTAAATCTAGATCTATTGAATTTTATAAAAACATGAAACACAATCATGATCTCATAATTTCTATAAAATTCAAGAATGATGAATGCTTGATTTAGAGGATTTAGGTTATTTTATATCTAGATCTAAATTTAGATTTAGATCTAAAATTAATCTTCAATCTCAATTCTAAATTTAATTAAAACAAAATTCGTAATTATGAAAACGAAAATTAAAATCTAGAATGGAGAAGAAGACAAAGAGAATTTGTATGGTAAAAATAGGCTAGGAATCCAAATTTTATCCTAATTCATGTAATATTGAATCGATTGAATGAACTAACCAAACATCTCCATCGAGTTACTACAATTCATTCATTTAGAAAATTTAAAGAGAAAAATGAGAGAGACAAAGAGAGAATTCAAAGAAACTTGTAGATAAGTAACTCGAGAATCTGAAAAATGAGAAGAAAATTGTATAACAAATCTCACAACACTTATTAATAGACCAATATAGTGGGCCTAATCAAAATATTTACGAGACCTGACCCACTTATAAACTAATTAACAAGGTTAAACCACTAATGCAATAAGTACTTGCAGTAAACCCAAAATAAAGTGTAGAGGTGCAACTTTATGGCACATTTTTAGACACTAAGACATCCAAACTGCATGAAACTCCCAATAAAGAAGTTGTAGAGCTCTATCTTAGCTTTCTAGAGACATCAAGAACATCTGATTTTGAGATCAAGAACTCAAGATATGTTATTCGCTTAGCCTTGCTCAAACTCCATGATCTTCTCCTTAAGGTGAAATCTGGATGTGAAGATCCAGAAGGAATGAAGTACTTGTGGAAATAATGATGAAGGAAGCACCAATGCCAAAGGAGCAAAGGATTTCTCACAAAGTTCCTATCCTAGAAGCCTTCTAGGAACCCTAAGAACTATGCGTGAGAAAGGACTTTTGAGAAAGAATTTTGCTGCACAAAATGGTCTGAAATCTCATATATCAAAAGTGAATCAGAATGAAGGAGAAGAACTCAATTTATAGGCCAAGAATGTTAAGTCAGACGAAGCAATTCCCAGCAAGGTTTTGAATGAGACAAATATAATACATGTTGTTATTTCTAATAAGTGTGCTAGTGTTTCAGAAAAACATATGTACAGGCAAGTTGAAGAATAGAGCATGTGCCACTTCCTACACCAGATCCAAGATAAAGGGTAAAAGCTTCAAGCATCACATGGAAAGATCAAAAGAAGTCAAGCCTAGCACAAAAAGAAAAATAATCAAGCATCAGATGGAAAGATCAAATGAAGCCAAGCCTAGCACAAGAAGGAAAATGATCCCAAGTCAGACGAAAGGCCAACACAAAATCAAACAAGGCCAAATCAAGATCAAGACAAAAGTGGGTTAAACACCGGATGAAGTTCGTACAAACATTAGATAAAGCCTAATGGTCAACTAGACGAAGATAAGTCAAGGCAAAGCATACCACGAAAATCAGACAAAGCAAGTCAAATGATAGATAGAGTAAGACATAAGCGCCAAACGAAGATAAATCAAATATCAGACGGAGATGAGTCAAGGAAAATCTCAGCATAAGGATCACACGAAGAGTAAACAAAGCTGAATGATAGATAACATATGAAATGTGCGCCAAACGATAATGAATCAAATATCAAACGAAGGTGTGTCAAGCACAACCTAGAGCGCAACATAAGAACCTCAGACAAAGGTTGGTCAAGAATCAAAATAAATTCAACTACACATCAAACGAAGGACAACATAGACTGAAAAGCATTCCAGACAGAAACAAAGTCTGTCCATCTACAAGGTTGACCAGACCTAAGAAAGTCAAATCATTAAGGACAAATGCTCAAACGAAGATCTAGACTTGAGATGCACATGAACTAACAGAAGAAAATGAAGTGTCATGAAAGCAATTGAAGAGTCAAGTCTCAAAGGACAAATCAGGCATCGTCTACAATCATATGAAAGCTCTCAATATGATCGTGAGTTGAAAGGAAGAAAAGAAAAAGAAGAAATACAAGCGCAAAAGTAAAAGCATGCATGTGTCAGAAAAAGTATATTATTTTTTCAGATAAGGACAACGCCTTTACAGCTACGCGACCGGAAAAGGAAAAAAAGTTCATAGGTCTCAGCTAAAGTCAGACACTACTGCTAACAAAACGAAGAAGACTTCATGCAATGTCTATAAACAGGAAGCAACATCTAATGCAAGATCTTGAGCATTAAATGAATGATCGAACTAGTCATGAACGACTACATCCGCTTCAATGGACACTTGCAACGGGCATATTTTACAAGACTATATATATGTCATGACTTCAAGCCTTGAAAGGTTGGCGAAGATGAGCGAAGAGTGATATCAAGCCCATGAAGCAATCAGAGCTTATAGAGTCAAATCTATAATAATGTATTTATCTCTGTAAACTAAGGAGTTCTAAGTGTAACTTAGGAACATGAA